CCCCCCCTTCCACGGGGGATGTGCCCGCAACCAAGGTACATGCCCTTGACTGGAATCAAACCTGGGACCTTTCAGTCTGCAGGCTGACGCTCTATCCACCAAGCCAAACCGGCCAGGGCGATAAAAGGATTTTTAAAGAAAAGAAAGTTGTGGACAAAAACTACATACAGGTGCTAAAAATAAAGCCTCTTTTGCAACCCAGAACTCATTGCTCAGTATGAGTTTGATACATATAAGAAAGAACATGATAAAAAAAATAAAATAAAGAAAAGAAGGAAGCTGAGACAGAAGTTAACTTTTAGATTCTTAAAATCCTTTCTGTTAAAGAAAAAATTATTCTGACACTTGTTATTCAGGACTATTGCAATAGGTACATCAATGAGGAAAAACTTTTCCTCTGCCCTCGTAGCTTCAGTGCTTGAGAGCCTAAAAATTAAACTGACAAAAGACAGTGAACAGTAGCAGAATATGCCACCCCAGGGTGGGGAAGCGGGCAGGGAGAGGTCAATGGCTGTTGCAAACCTGGGTTGACTGTGGAACTTCAGAAATAACATTGTGTTAAGCACAGGTCATGTAGGTCAGATCTTAAGGTCCTTTAAATTTTTTAAATTGCCACCCCAAAATATGCCACTTTGGCATAAGCATTATTTTGAGCTGAAGGCAATTGAAAAGAAGCAGATAGATATAAGAAAAGTTCTCTGCATTCCTATATTCCTAAAAGTAGGGCCAAAATTTGTAAAGGTGTTCCTCTTCCCCACCCGCCCCCGACCCCCGATCCCTGCCCCACTCTGTCCCCTTTCTACAGGAATGACAGAGGTTAATTGCTGGAGAAATTCTAGACTCTTCTCAGCCCAGAGAGGGCACCAAAGTAATGTACATAACAAACTTAACTAACTAGCTTTTATCTTAGTTCCCCCATATAAAGTCGAACCTCAGTTCTCTCAAACATCTCCCAAATTCAACAATTTGGTTCTTGAACAAGTTGTATAGTGGGGAGGAGGGGGATGTCTTGGTTGTGGAACAAAACTTCTGTTTTCAACATGACAACACTTTCATGCTGGTATCGCAGCATGACAAAAGGTGTCTCCTAAACAAGGGAGAGAAAGCTTTTGACCATTAGCACAATTTTAAAACATAAAGAGACCATCAAGAGTGCTAATGCTGTTAAGGGTGTGATCACAGACAATTGAAGAGGTAGAAAAACTGTTGTTGATTTGGATAAAGAAAAGCAGTTTAGGGAAAGTGTTGTAGATTTGGATAAATTAAAAGCAGATAGCCAGTGACAGCAGTTTGGAGGCAGTGATATGTGAAAAAGCAAAGGTGCCGCATACTGACCTCCTAAAAGACACCCATGGAACGAGTGCTGAAAATGATTCATGTGATTACATATGAATATTTATAAAATGGACTATTACTCAGCCACGAGAAAGAAGGAGATCCCGTTATTTGCAACAACATGGATGAAGCTTGAGGACATTATGCTGAGCGAAGTAAGTCAGAGAAAGACAAATACTGAATGATCTCACACATATGTGGAATCTAAAAGTCCAAACTCTTAGAAACAAAGAGTATAATGGTGGTTACATGGAGCTGGGGGAGGGATGCTAGAGAGAACATGGTCAAAGGGTACAAAGTTGCAATCATGTAGGATAAATAAGTTCTGGAGAATGAATGCACAGCATAATGATTATAGTAAAAAATACTGTATTTTATACTTCAGAATTCTAAGGGACTAGATCTTAAATGTTCTTACCAAAATGATAATTATGTGATGGGATACAGGTGTTAGCTAACACTGCAGTGGTAATCATATTGCAATATATAAATGTGTTAAATCATCTTAAATTATGTGATGGGATACAGGTGTTAGCTAACACTGCAGTGGTAATCATATTGCAATATATAAATGTGTTAAATCATCTTAAATTATGTGATGGGATACAGGTGTTAGCTAGACACATTTGTAATACCTTAAGCAATAAAAAATTTAAAAAAATATTTTCTAATAAAAAGTGGAATAAAGATTCTTGGCCTTAATGAGGATCAAGATAAGCTACCCCAAAATATGGAACCTTGGCATATTGAAACTTTTATGCTGAAGGAG